GATGTTGTTAAGGAAAAGCAGAGGTGAGATTGTTTCATTATTATTTTTGCACTCCTACTAAGTACTAACATTTCCCTCCCCTCCCCAACTCTCATCACTTTTTTTGTAATGGTTCTTTTGGTTAGATTTCTGTTGTGTGTTTGTTTCTTTGTCTAATCTTCTCTGTTTTCTCTTTGCCGGCACTTCATCGTTGGAGATGATGGAATAAGGATTTGGAGGCGGCGGGCTCTTCATCGTTGGATGACTTGGAGGAGGCTGGGCATATTGGATTGGAACAGCATGCCAACAACGCTGGAATGGAGGTATTTAGATGTTGTTAAGGAAAAGCAGAGGTGAGATTGTTTCATTATTATTTTTGCACTCCTACTAAGTACTAACATTTCCCTCCCCTCCCCAACTCTCATCACTTTTTTTGTAATGGTTCTTTTGGTTAGATTTCTGTTGTGTGTTTGTTTCTTTGTCTAATCTTCTCTGTTTTCTCTTTGCCGGCACTTCATCGTTGGAGATGATGGAATAAGGATTTGGAGGCGGCGGGCTCTTCATCGTTGGATGACTTGGAGGAGGCTGGGCATATTGGATTGGAACAGCATGCCAACAACGCTGGAATGGAGGTATTTAGATGTTGTTAAGGAAAAGCAGAGGTGAGATTGTTTCATTATTATTTTTGCACTCCTACTAAGTACTAACATTTCCCTCCCCTCCCCCACTCATCACATTTTTTGTAGTGGTTCTGTCAATTTGGTTTCTGTTGTGTTTTTGTTTCTTTGTCTAATCTTCTCTGTTTTCTCTTTGCCGGCACTTCATCGTTGGAGATGATGGAATAAGGATTTGGAGGCGGCGGGCTCTTCATCGTTGGATGACTTGGAGGAGGCTGGGCATATTGGATTGGAACAGCATGCCAACAACGCTGGAATGGAGGTTTTTCTTTGTATTTATTTTTATGTTTGTTAAGTCTCAATGTTATTTTAGTTATTTATTGTTTTTTATTTTGTTTAGATTGTTAGTTTTTGTTGTTAGATGTTTATTAGGTTGTTATTATTGTTATTTGCTTATTTGGTTCTTATTATAGTTTTTTGTTAATGAGGGTTGTAAAGTTGTTAATTTTCATGTTTTGTTTGTTATTTGTAACATTAAGTTTTTAATGTTTTGGGTTCATGTTACTGTTAAGTTTTAGCTTTTGTTAGTGTTGTTAAATTTGTTATTTTAATGAGTCATAATGTTATTGTTATGATTGATAATATTTGTTATCTATCAGTATATAAGTTATTGGCTATTGTTTTTGATATGTTAGTTCTGTGTTATTGGTATGAGGATCAGTCGTTTGTTATATTTACATGTATAGGAGGATATAAGTTATTTATAATATTATACAGTCATGTAGTTATGAGTTTTTATTAGATGATATTGTTATGATTCAGTTATTTGTTATTGTGACAGTTATGAGCATTTGTTGTTTATATTTGTTTTAGTTAGTTGTTATTGTGAAGTTGTTATGAGTTTTCGTTGTTATGAGTTTTAGTTATTTGCTTTTCTTGTGATTTTGAATTATTTGTTATTGATTTCAGTGTTAGCTAGTTGTTATTGTAATGACTTATAGTTATTAATTATTGTGACAAAAAATCATTACAATTCTTCACAAAGCCATAATTGTTCATTAATTTAAAAGCATAATTAAAGTGAATTATAACAATAAACAAAAAATAAGCCTTTATGTGTCATATTAATTCAAAATCATGCTGAGGAAGTGTAGTTTGTTCAAATCCCCACTTCCTCCTCCCTCGAACTCGCACTAGATTAGAGGTATTTCTTAGCCATTTAAGAAGACCTAAGATTGTTTGATGATTAGTTTGTCACTCCTACTTAGTACTAAAAATTTTGAGATCTGCCTTTTGGGATCTACGTGATTCGTGTTTCTGGGTCCCGTCGGTTGTTTGCAGTAGCTATCTTATACGATTATTTTGGAGTGTTTCCTGCTTCAGTTGAAAGGTAAGAGGATTATTGTAGTTGTAAGCAGCCTTACTTAGGTGTTTCTTTGTGTTAGGTTTAGTTTGTGTAGTGTTTCCAGTAGGCGCAGTTTTGTTTTAGGTTAAGTTAGTTTGTAAGCTTTAGTTTTTAGTTTTACAAATTAGAGTTCTTTAGAAGTGTAGGCCAATATTGTAATTAAGGTGTTTGTTAGTTAGTGCTTGTGGTAGATAAGTTTGCATGATTAACACCCTAACAAGTACGAGGGGCAATCAGAAAATAAATCAAGTAATGTTATTCCATAGAAATTCTTCTTAAATATTTTGTTAGTGTTGTTGGTATCTCATTAGCAAAGGTACATGAAATTTTGACCAAGCTCTTCAACATTCCTAAAGTATGTGCACGAAAAATTGCTAGAAAACTGTCTAAAATCTATAAAAACTGTGACAGGATAAAATTTGTTGACTTGCTAACAGGTGATGAAACTTGAAATTTACTTTTTTGAGCCGCAAAGAAAATTGATCAATATGATAAGGGTAAGAAAGAATAATGTCATTGCAAAAAATGTGTCAGAGTGCTAGGAAATTTTTCTTTAATTCTAGTGGCCTTTTTATGCAAATTCCAACTCCGAAAGGTAGTTGTATCTCGGGACAATTTTACAAAAAAAAATACTGAAAAATATTAAGAAAGTATATGAAAAGAAAAGACCAAAGACACGCTTGAAGAACATGAATCTCATTCAAGACAGCGCTCTAGCCCATAAGAGTAAAACAGTTCAAAGTTTTTGAAAGATGAATTGTTCAGCCCCCTTGTCCACACTGTTCTCCCGATCTAAGTCCTTGTGACTTTTTCCTAGTACCTAGACTGAAACAAATGTCATCTGGACATCGCTATACTTTGCACAGTGCAGTTGATAGTGCTATTATCAGTGCTTAGACATTATTCCAAGGAAAGACTCCCTCGGGGATATGCAAATTGCAAATGTGTCTGAATGTAAAAGGGGGTTAATTATTTTGAAGGATTAAACTAGTTAACATTTTGATACATATTGTTGTCATTATTTTATAGATATACTTGCAGAATTTTCTGATTGTCCCTCGTAACAAGCTACTAAAACTACTAACGTCTGCTAAATGTTGTGTGACGCGTCTAGTGTGTTGGTGTTAGTGTCTGTGTGCTTGTCACCTCACGCTTTCAGCCATCACCGCTGGCTAGCAGCAATGTGAAAAGGGAAGGAATTTTTGTCTTCCCCTGCCAGTACATAGCCTCTCCACAACAAGTCCTATGCGATGCCTCCACGTGGAAGCAGATGGATACTGGGCACCATTCGGTCCCAGGCTAAGTTCGCAAGGGCGCACGGGAAGATAAGTCTCCTAAGTTTTTGCAAGCACCTTATCTAGGAGAGAAAAATGATCACAATCCCGATTTAGTATAAGACTTGATTGATGTGGTAACTGGTAATAGGAATGAACCTTTGTCCATTGTCTGTCTTTGTCATTTTTGTGAAAACTCACACTTTCATCTTCATCGGGCCAAAATCAACCAAACTTGGCAGAGTATCCTTGGGTAAATGAGATTCCAGTTTATTCAAATGAAGCCCCATGCCCTCTTCTAAGGAGAGATTATTACAAATAAGTGCAAAATTAATATGACATCTTTTAAAAATCTTCTTTTGAAGATCAGCTGGAGCAGGAAAGGTGACCCTTGTGTGGAATTATCCTCAGGTAGTGTACATTCAAATTTATTCAAATCTAGACCCCACTATTAGGGTGGTGCTAGAATGAGGAATCAAAAATATACATTGGAAATTTTTTTAAGGAGACACTGTGACACACAAAGGGGAAATTTGACAAAGGTAGAATTTTTGCATACTGTAAACCAACTTTTATTCGCGTGCGAGAAATTTTCGCGAAGTTCGCGAGAGCCTCGTCATCGCAAATATTTCTCGCTGCGAACCGGTCCTTAAAGTGTATTTGTCTATAAACAACAGATCCAAAAAGGCTTGATCGCGAAAATTAATCGTCGCTAACTAGTTTATCCCTTTTAAATCGCGAAATAAAGTTGTCGCGATTAAAAGTTGGTTTACAGTAACCCTTGTCAATTTTTTTTCAATTCCTGAAGGAATTTGGTTTCAGGAAATTACAGATTTCAGAAACTAAAAACTCTATTTTTATTGAGAAAAATAAAAATAAAATAAATTCAGTATGCCCCAATACATTGCACTAAAAGATTGTTTTACTTCTTTCCTCATATTGTATGCGCTCAGAAAAGTTGAATAAGTTACCATGACCTGAAGTACCTAAAAATAAATGTAGGTACACCAAGATTTTTGATACAATATTTTTAAAAAGCTGTATGCAGCAGCCAACATGGCCCAAAGTAGTAAGCAATAAGTTTCTCTGTTAAATGAAGTTTTTCAATTGATAGGAAATGAGTGATTCCCCTTTGATGTCTCTGTTTTCTCTTTTAAGCGGAAGAAAGTTGAGGCTGACCAGGATCCTGAAGTAAGGAGGAGTCCCTCTCCCATTAAACTGCACTCATGAGCAGAAAGTGTGGCAAGATTCAGACTTTATTTCTTGTATAATTTTCTGACTTTTTGCTTGCCAAATGAGATTGGGCCAAAATAAAAAATAGTCTTGTTTCCTGCTACCCGACCTACCCTATTTTTTAGCACCCGACCCTAAAGTTTTTTTTAGTTTTGGGGGAAAAATTCAAAATTTTAGGAATTTAATGTTTCAAAGGTGAAAAAAATATATATACTCAAGTTGTATTACATGAAATATATTTATGAAATATTGACTTACAGAAAATTCCACTTGAGTTGTGCATCAAAAGGCATGGAATTTCATTTTAAAAGATGATATCTACCTAGCTATGACATGTTTAATTTGATTTTGCAGTAGTTCATATCCATAAAAATACCGTTGGAAAAAATAAAATAAAATAAAAAAATAAAATAATTTTCCTACCTACCTACCCTATTTTTTTCTGGCTGGAAGCAGGAAACAAGACTATTGTTTTTTTTGGCCTTGGCTGTACCATTCTTTAACATCTGGACTTTTAATTGATAGAATTACAATCAAGGACAGGGGTCAATTAATATAAGAAGAATCCATGTCCTGGCTGTGTTTTTCAGGCAACATTTTCAAAAGTGGTAAGTAACAAGTTTGTTTTAAGCTTCTCACTTGATATGAAGTTCAGGTATCCCCCCCCTTTGATGTTTCTGTTTGATCTTTTGTAGCAGAGGAAGGTTAAGACTGACGAGGACTTCTAAGGATGGAGTCCCTCTCTCATTCCACTACGGTAATGAGAAGAATGCACGGTAAGATTTGGGCTTTACTTCATGAAGTATTAATAAATTCTGACAAATCTTTCTTCTACCTCTTCTCTACTCTAAAGTAACTATACATCCCTTCCCCATCCTAATTTTCCCTGTAATTCGTATTCCCACCTTATTGTCTTATTTGATAACTGATTTTCCAGCTAATAATGTTGTAATGATTATATTTACTCGAAATTCTTTGATTTACTTATATTGCATTGAATTATTAAGTACTAAAATTCTCTCCCTTGTATATTTTCAAGGACTTGGACAAGGGAATAAGGGGAGGGGGAGACCAGGGCTGACCTAGAGAAGAAGAGTCCATTGTCAAGCTTTGTCCAGCAGCCAATATCTGATTAGACGTTACGCACGATGTAGGTGACGTTTGACGTTACGCTTTTATAAAGCGCTACGGAAAAATTGACGTAATGCTTCCTATTATGTTACTTGCTTGACTGATACCCTTTCGCTATCTCTTTTTACTTGAAATACGAGTTTAAAAAGTCATAGGCTATTAGTCATTAAACTAAGGGACATTTAGGGCGATTTGGATTTGTATATATCTGATAAATTTTATTAAGTACTCAAAGCAGTCTTGAACGCATTTTCATGTATTACGCTGAAGCAGAACGAATTTTACGCGTCAAAAACGTCCACTGGACAAATGTGTTGAACCTCCTAAATGTTGCGTAAAATATTAATTAATGGAGTAGATTTATTAATCTGACATTCAATCTAATCGTTTAGAGTAGCACATTTTGAAAATTCAACTATTTCTGTAGTCGATGGGGAAAACAATATAATTTCACGACTCGAAAAAAACATTGTCTTATTTTTGCACGTCGTTTTAGACGCTGGACATTTCTGTTGAACTTGTAGTCTTATTACTAGCTCCAAAGCATGAAGTTTGATATCAACATCATTGAAATATTTCAAATCTATAGAAAAGCACATTATTTTGATATATTTTGTTTTTATTTAAACTTTCTTGTTAATGAGCAAATTTATTGTTTTTATTCATATGCACGTTTTTATTGAAAAGCGTTACAGATTCTTCACCTGTAAAAACTATCGCTTTATATTTCTTGCCAACATTTAATGCAAAATCGTTAATGAAGTCACAAATGACATGGATTGCTCTTGTTTTGTGAGAAAAATGAAAATTCTAGATTCTCTTTTGAATGCTCTACACACAAAAAATGCGCGATCCCTGCTAAAAAATGTAACGCGTTACACGCTTGAAAAATACCCTTTTTGCGTTATAAAATTCTACTTTTTGCATAAAAATTATTTAGATGCTATTTTCTTACTAGAATCGGGTAGTTCTGTTCAAAATCTATCCATTCATACTAAAATCATCCATATTGCGAGTATATTTTTAAAATCACCGAAGTATTTCATAGGTCATATTCTAAAATTGTAAAATAGCACCAACATCGCGCGTAACGTCATTAAGAAGTGAGTAAAAAGCTTTTTTGGCAATTTTCAAATTTTCTTTGTAATTCAAGTTTGTTTAAATCGTGGGTCCAGGAGAATTTAATTACTTCTGTTGCAGAACAGCAAGACCATGTTAGTTGCAATAACACTAAAGCATTCCAATGTTGTATTGATTCAATAAAGTTATATCATGATCCTTTGGGGCTAGAGTTGGCAAAATTATGAAGTAAAGATTTTTTTCTTCTTATAACAAGGTTAGGATGACTCAGGTGAACATTATGGCACAAGGACCTCTTGTACATTTGTAATGATCTTTGGATTTTTCTTTGTTAACAGGCAGAAGATGAGACTGACCTCAATCTGTCAACAAGACTGTGGAGAGTAAGGATTAACTGCTGTCTATCCTAAAATTGATGGTAAGATAGTTGTCAATTAAGCTATAAACCTTTCAATTTGTGATTAAGAATTTATGACATCACTCTTTTTTTTTTTTTATTCCTAGTGGGTTTTTTTGTTAATAAGCAGGGGGTTATGCTGGTATTGTCCCATTTCCAAGAGATAGCAGGTTGTCATAAGTCAGTGAGAGTCCAAAAAGATCAACTGGGACTGACCTGAAAATAAAGGTAAGACACAAGTTCTACTTACTCCTTCTACTCTGTGAAAATTTACTTTGCTCTCTTATTTATTAAAATTTAATTAATATTTTTAGCTCACCTGAGCTGAAAGCTCAAGTGACCTATTCTGATCACAATTTGTCTGTAGTCCGTCTGCCTAGGTGTCCATCTGTAAACTTTTTTAATTTTCAACTTATTCTCAAGAACCACTAGACCAATTTCAACCAAACTTGCCACAAAGTATCCTTTGGTGAAGGGAATTCAAGTTTGTTCAAATGAAGGGCCACGCCCCATTCCAAGGGGAGATAATTATTAATTATTGAAAAATTAATGGCAATTTTCAAAAATTCTTCTCAAGAACCACTGTGCCAGGAAAAATGAAACTTATATGGAAACATCCTCAGGTAGTGTAGATTCAAGTTTTTTTCAAATCATGACCCCCAGGGGTAGGGCGGGGCCACAATGGACAATCAAAGTTTTACATAGGAATACATAGGGAAAAATCTTTTAAAATCTTCTCCTTCAAAACAGCAAAGCCATAATTGGTCATATTTATATGGAAGTATCCTCAGACAGTGTAGATTCATATTTGCTCAAATTATAACCCCTGGGGGTAGGGTGGGGCCACAATGGACGATCAAAGTTTAACATAGGAGTATATAGGAAAAGTCTTCTCAACAACAGCAAAGTCATTATTGGTCTTGTTTTTATTGAAGCATCCTCAGGTAGTATTAGATACAGATTTGTTAAAATTATGACCCCCAGGGTTGGATGGGACCACAATAAAAGTTCAAACTTACAGGGAAAAAGCCAGTTAGTCAAAAAAAAATATGTAAGCATCCTTAGTTAGTGTAGATTCAAGTTTGCATAGATAGAAGTTTGTTCAAATCATATCCCCCTTTTAGAATCGGGACCACTTAGGTATTTACTGAATTGATTTTTTCCTAGCCACAGTGTGCTCAGGTGAGCTATGTGGCCCATAGACCTCTTGTTTGTTGATCCTTTTATGATTTGTTTCTTTACAGGTAGACTGGCATCCATATATTGTTTCTTTAATGGCAGACAAATAAATGAAATAAGCTTCAACAGTAGTGCAGAGAGTAAGGTTTGGACTGCAGCTTGATGTAGTCTGACTGAGGAAACTAAACAGTCAGGACTCAGGGGAACTTTTCATATTCTTTTCTTCAAACTAGATACACTTTACTGACAGAGTTCAATGGACAGTGTTGATGAGTTCATTGTTATCACAGAGTGATGGACACATTAGATAGCTAAACTGACAGAGTTCAATGGACAGCTCTGAGTACATCGTTAGATCTACAAAACGGTGGACACATTAGATAGCTAAATGAGAAGAATCAAATGGACAATGCTGACGAGTTCATTGTTATTAACAAAGTGAGGCAACACATTAGATAGTTGGAGAATCAAATGGACAATGCTCTGCGTACATTATTGTTAACAAGGTGATGGACACATTAAAGAGATAAACTCACAAAAGTCAATGTACAATAACAATATTTAATTCATTGTTATTAACAAAGAGATGGACACACTAAGCAGCTTAATGCAAGGAATCTAATGGACATTTAGGAATGGATTTTACGTTTTTTTTCTTGGCAAGAAATTTCTGGGTTGGATGTTTTTTTTTACCAGAGTGACCCTCTTGCAAAAAATGTCCTATAGGTCCGTGCCATTTTTTTTAATGTACAAAAATATCAATATAAAAATAAAATTTATTCAAATATGTGTGGCAGTTGGCAGTAAACAGCTGACAGTTGGCAGTAAGCAGTCAGCAGTAAGCAGTTGGCTGTCGTATATGGCATTCCATAGTGTATAAATTTCAGATTGGTATATACGATTTTTCAACGGTGTGTACAAATTCGAAGACACTACAAGAATTTAAAAACACATGTAATTTACTGAAAATGGAGATTTCTATTCATGACGTTGTTATAAATCTAGCGCAGCGTCGGACTGGGCTATGCAGTTTGTGTATACAAACTGTTTATTTAGATGACTTTCGTAATTTTGTGTGTATTGTGTTGAATTTTAAAGATTAAATTAATTATAAACTATACTTAAAGATTATTGCTAGCACTTGGAAGTGCGTTGCGCCTTAAAAAAGAAATGAAGTTCGTGTCCATGAACATGTGTTAAGTCAAAACCCAAATGTTTGACGTTATAATGAAATTACCTTAAGGTCAAGATCTAGTAAATGAAAGGTGCCCACAGATTTATCAAACTTGAGAAATGAATTCCTTTATTGGTGCTTTACAACTTTAGCTTGATCAAATAAGATGTTTCGGGGCATAATTTGTAGGTAAACAAGATGAAAAATTGTATTTTAAACTGTCATTTTCAATGAAAAATTAAGAAAACCAGTCATGAATATGGGAGTTTTTTTCGTATTCGGCAATGGAAATGTATCAAGATTGCCTACAGTCTCTCAGGAAATGGTAATTAGTATGTTCATGGCCTCTTCTTTAAATCAATATCAAATTTAATATAGGTATCCGGTTTACTTTTCATATGATTTCAAATTGAATGACATGAAAATACCCTATTTTCTAAATAATTCTGCTAAAGCCGTAAAGTACGGGAAAAAGAAAGTTGAAATTGATTATGACGTCATAATGGATCCAGCACCAAAAAATTAGTCTCAAGGTATTTACTAGATCTTGACCTTAACGTCAGACTGGTCCGTGCGCACAATCTGCGATCTTTAAAGACCCCGATTTTTACAAAAATATAACGTTTCCTAAATAAAAATGAAACCTTTCTGACTTGGTTTTTCACAAGAAATATTTTGATATACAATAGATGCATATAGAACCATTTATTTTGCCAAAAACGTCATTGTCCACGAACTTTTTGGACAACCCTCGTAAAAATAAGGTACCCATTTAATTTTTTTTACTAATAAAATATCCAAATAAGATGCAGATGAATAAGACTCTGTGGGATCTTTAATTCAAGTTCACTTGCATGACTTGGATTTACAGGGTCGACACTTGAATGGAGGTAGCTATTGTTAATTGATAATTTGTCGTTAATATTTCTAAATGTCGAGTTGGAAGTCATGGCAAGCGATTTTTTTTTCTAAAGTGTAAGTTTTTGAATAAATTTTGCTACACATAAGTACAAAATTAGGCATGCTAATAACAGGACACAATTGTTTTGCTCATATGAATTTCGATGGATTGTTGAAGACTTGATCTCAAGAACCAACATTTTATACCATTCGGAGTACTTGTGTAAAGAATGTATTTAGAAAATTATTTTGCAAATGACCAATGATGTTGAGTAAAATTACGAGTCTCAATTTTATTTCAAAAAGCATCTGTCTATGATGTCAAAAAGAAGTCTTATGTTTTGATGTTAATGACTTTGGTAAACGTTTGTGATTTTAAATCTTCTAAAATTTCCTTGTATTTTTTATGTATTCACATCTGATTTAAAACACTTTTTGAATATATTGATTGTATATACAGATTTCAAGACAAATTGACAGTAAAAATGCACAACTAATGTAATCCTTTGCAACTATTTATTTGCTATCAAAAAATTCAAGCAAAAAAAAATTAAAAACTGACATGATGAGAGAAGCAAAAAACAACACGGAGACATTTTTGACATTCGCTGTTTTTCATAGTCCTTTTACGATGAATCCGATTTTTACCTACAACGATAGAATACCAGCATTAAAACGAACAATTAAGTGTTAAAAATATTTAGTACAGGAACTTCTAAAAATGATTACTTCTCCACTTACTTCAAGCTCCTTTACAGATACCACAACCTTTTCTGCACTTCTTGTTCATGAATTGAGGGTTCTTCTTACATTCACCGGAAGTGGCCCAAAATTCACAATCTTTATCGTTGTCTTCGCAAACTTCAACGCCTTCGCCTTTTAGAGCAATCAACAGAGTTTTCAACTGTACAATTTGCAAAAATCAGTCTCTAATAGCTTGGGATACTATATTTATGAAATTCTTACCTGTGCAAAGTTTATTTTCGCAGGTTTGTTTTTGAAGACACTTAGAGCAAGCTGCACCTTTCTCAAATGGATACTCCGATATATCATTTCCCCTTAATACAAATGTTGTCTAGTTTAGAATATTTGATATATCCATTGAAAATCAAGTTTAAAAAAATCCCTAATGTGGATACGTTACATTTGCATACAAATTTCTTGCTGAATTACATTCAAGGATGCATGTGAGAATATTTTTTTTTAATTTTTGTACTTATGCCTATAAAAAGTGTATCTAAAAGTTACAGGACAAGATTTTTATCCCAGAACCTTTGCAATACGGACGTTTGACTTACTTGGGATCGTAGTAACAAGCAAGATACCACGCGTTCTTCACAGGTCTTCCAAATGCTTGAAGGTAGTTACATTTCTCCATGGCACATCCGACTTTTCTAGTTTTAGCCCAGACTACCTACAATATAAAGTATTACAGACTTTGAATTAAAAATTTACTCGTTGGAAATGGTGTACCAAATTACCTATAAAAATTTAATGAACAATTTGCCCGTCTCCCTTTTTTGCGAACACACAAATTTTGTAAAGGGTAGAGGAAAAACTTGCATCATCGCAAACTACATTTAAAATATCGCAATCTCTTTTCCCTGATCTTTTTAACATATGTCATAAAAATGACAAAAATTTGGATAAGGACCTCCCCCTGCACGGTTCCTACGATCCCGTCCATAAACTGCAAAATTTTATTACAGACAAATTTCACCAAAATTAAGGCTATCCTAACCTGCGTATAATGACAACTTCTCGGTGCACAGGATTTCCTATTATAGTTATAGTCCTTGATTTCATCATACCAGGCCTTCATTGAACTATTGATTAATTCCTCTGTCTTCTTAGGGTTGGAATCAAAAGCCAGATTTTCTCCCCTTCCTTTCATCTCGTGTTTGAAACTGCATCTCTTTATCCAACTTCCCGCCTCTTTGCTGAGTGTGTCATCCCACACCTATTTAAAAATGTATGTTAATAGGGATCATCATTATGATTTTTTCTCCATAGATTTAATTATGTATTTATTAGTACTCACCAAAGCCTGCATGTCGGCTGCACCTTGCTGGGCCCGGTAAGCATTGTGTACGTCTAGAAGTTGCTGTTTATACTGATCTACAGGGACGGTCTCAGAATGTACTCTCACCAGGACGACACAAACCAAAGACAGCAACAACCGCAACACCTCCATCTTAATAATAAAATTTTCATTAAAAGTATCGTGTTCATCTTTTTTTTAAAGTGTCATAAACCAATGTTTCTTATCCATTTCATGTATAAGAATTTTAAAATGTCGATTACGCCGTCCTTTTTGGTGTCTCAAGTAAAGTAATAGTGTAATAAATGCTATATCGATCTCTCTATAGAATACTTTAGGCATTATACTTATGGATTTGTCTCTTTTTAATGTCTTTGACACTCAAAATATACGGAGAAATGTTGAAAATTATTTTTATAAAGTAAAATTTCCAATCATATTTTGGATCTTAATAGTTTTTTAACATGTTATATGTAAAATGTGAAGATAATGAACTGTAAGCGATTTCAAAAACCCCAAAACAGTACAAATATGTTAAGTTAAGAGTGCAGCCATAAAACACGGACCCTTGAAATTCAAGAAATGTGATCAGGTGCCTAGGAGGAGTAAGCATTCCCTATTGACTGGTCGAAACTGCCGTTCCTTTTTATCAAAAACTCTCTTTTTTAAGGTTTATCATTCTTCTGTTCACTTATATTAAAAAACTGCTTCATGAAATAAATATTCATAAATTCATTATTGAAATGGCAACAATTTTGGTTTACTTTGTAGAATAAAATTTAACAAGAATGGTGTTTCAAAGAAAATCAAAGTCACGTATTTCTTCTTCTCAAGTTACTGTTCTTTTCTAACAGGCTCAATGGGCCTTAAAAAAAAACCCAGCAACTTACCTTTCTGCTCGCCGTTTTCAGTCCCCAGTCCCATCGTTCTTTTTATACTTATGTTATAAATGTTACTGGGTCTTATTATTTCCACTATATTTCAAAAGATTAGTTCAGTTGAAGACCATGTTAATGTAGGCCTCATCAACATCTAGTACCAGTTTCTGCAATGTTCGTCATTCAGACTATTATATATTTTGACTAACCATGCACGACAATGGTAAATGTTACTGTTAATTACAATAACTGGGAGATCGATATGCATGCACTATTCAGAGGGAGAAAAAGATGTGCATTCTACTACTTTTTGGGTGCGTGAAGACAACAGTTCACTTCAGCAGGAGCTGCAATCTGCCATAAACAAGACCATTGGGATACAGAATAAACTGATTGTACCTGTAATAAAGTGCGTATAATCCTCCAATTAAATAAAATTGAAATATTAAAAGTTTTAATGCAAGTCTTAATTCTTTACAAATATGTCCGTGATGAAACTGGGTTGGTTTTTTAAAAAAAATTCAACATGAAAAATTACAAAACTTGAGATTATTTTTCTTTAATGTCTAATTATCTCTACTTAATATTTGCTTTTTTACTGCAGTTCATTTCAGGTTCAATACTTATAAATACATGTAAAACTGAATTGGAATGAATATATGCATTAGGGACCAGGGCAAATTATATCACATTCACACTGATGGGACCAGTATATTCAGGTATGGGACAGTGATTTTTCCATTAAAGAAAACCATGGGACTAAAACAATTTTTAAATTAAGTACCCATGCAGCACTTTTTTGAAAAATGATTTACACGGTACTTAACTCAAGAGACACATTTATTATATTTGAAAATATTATTTTTTTCCTCAAAAAGTAATGGCAACTTAAATCTTCAAAATAATGGGAATTTAAAAAAAAAAGTAACAATACTAAATCATTAAAATGAAGGCCGATTTTTTTTAATCACCTTGGCTACTTATGTAATATGTCGCAAAGACAATACATGTATTACTTTTACATGTAGTATTTCAGTACTTTGATTGTATTAAAAGCCACTGAGAAAACCCATTTTTACCCCACCCCTGTTCCCTCCCACAAGAAAATGGCCGACCATGAATCAAAACAATCACAAGACACATTGGAGAATGGCGAAAGCAAGAATGCAGATGAATGTTCATGGCCAAAACCTGTGGTAGGATTGCAAAATAAAACTGATATTAACAGCTCTGCACGATCTCTGCGGTACCAAAGTAAGTGCATCTTTGAATGCTAGAATTTCCGTGAATCCTGAGTTTAGCAAGCCCTTCCCGAATTTACTCTATGCAAAAGTGCAATAGGCCTAGCATTACATTTTGGGTAAAAAAAAAAGGACTGCAAAAAATATGCGCTTTAATATTAACTGAAGTAAAGTAGATAATGACTAAGTCATTGAAATCTCATTTCGATTGTTGCACTAGAGTCTGAAAATTTATCAATGTTTTAATTGCTGATAGAGATTGTACCCTCATCCAAAAATAAAGATCACTTTAGTTGATAGATTATCAATGAGATGGTATTAAATAAAGCTAAAAAATCTAAGGGTTGGAATTTAGAGTTAATACCTACAGTAGCTGTAGAACTGAAGATGGGGGAGTTATATGATTCCCCTGGCACCAGTGTCAGTGTCATGAGCGTCCCAAGTTAAAGTTTTTGGAGCTTTTTTCTTTGTAAGTAGTTCTAAGCCCTATAATGATCATATGTACATGGAACATGCCTATAGTATGTTTCATTGTACCAGATAAGGTTTCAGATGCTGCAATTTCAGCAAAGGAATGACCAGGTTGATGTTTTTGGAGCAGGTTAACATTTTGGGTGCAGTTTTTGATGTAGGTCTTATTTCCAAATAATTAAAAGCCCTATGAGGCCCAAACTTGCATGGATGATACATCTAAGGATCCATACAACCAGTCTTGCTTCATATGCAAGATCTGACCTACATTTTCTGGATGAGTGAACAGGTTAATGTTTTTTGTGCAGTTCTCATTTCCAATTAAGTAACTGATGTTTTATGGTGTGACCGTTTGGGGGAGCACAGTTGTACCTGCAAAAATACACATCAAACATTGATCCGCCACTTCAAATGCCAGGTCGCACGTGACAATTAGATTGTGACTTCACACAAGAGTTCGTCAGGGTTTACGGAAACAGCTGAGCATCTAGTTGAAACTAATAGACCTTAATGTGCAATTTTTGTCGAAAGACATTGCAGAGTTATTTTTTGTTTATTTTAAAGATTTCTACAAACTGAAAGCCTTATTCGCGCAAAGGGCATTGGGTAGCAAAGGAATTCTGGGAAGGTTTCACAGGAAAATTTGCTTGACGTATGTACAGATTTCATTTCGAATTTCCTCTGTTCTTACATGTTAGTCTATTGAGCTCGCTTCATGATGCTTGCTGTGCTCGCTATGAGCCATATGATGACCAAATTTGCATCTATGGTACATCTAAGGATGCACACTTCCAAGCTTGCTTCGGATGCGTGATCTGACCAACATTATCTGGATGAGTGAACAGGTTAAATTTTTTGGTGCAGTTCCCATTTCCAAGTAACTATGAGGCCTATTGTGACCAAACTTGCATGGATGACTACCAGACTTGCTTCGGATACTGGATCTAACCTTCCTTTACCAGTTGAGTGAAAAGGTTAATGTTTTGGTTCTGGTCCCATTTCCAAGTAACTATGAGCCTTATGATGACCAAATTTGCATGGATGCACACTGATAGACTTGCTTCGGATGCTGGATCCCACAAACATTTTCCAGATAATGGACCAGGTAAAAGTTATGGGTGAGGTCTAACACCAAGAAACTATTAATCCTATATTAACCAAACTTGGATAGATGATGCAACAAGGGATGAACACTCTCAAACTTGCTTCAGAAGCTTGATTTGTTACATTTTCTTGATGGGAGATGGACAACTATTTTGAAGTTTTGGATAGGTCTATATCCAAGTAACTGCAAGCCCTATCAGATCAAAATAGCATAAATTTTGCAATTTAATTAGGGTGCAAAATTCTAGAATGTTAGTTAATTGTGGGACTATGCCTTACTTAACGTGCTTATATAAAGTCAACATTCATTGATATGAGCTCTATTATCTCTGATTACCTACGTTTAATATACATATTTTATTTAATTTTAGTTGTAACACATCATTTGATTGGGTAAAAGATTTTATGCATTTCGTATAACATAAATTGGCTGCGTCACAATGAGTTACGTCAAAAACCTATTACTCTGCTTGACGTTACTTTTAAAATAATGCTCAATTTGATGCCTTATTCCGGAGGAAATATTGTCTCATTGTCTACACTGAAATTAAATTATAACTTTAAGGAATGAAGCTAATTTCAACTTATGTTATCCGATATAACAAAACTTGTTGCAATTTATGCTTTTTTAAAAACCTCTTCACGGTTTATAAAGCGCCGTATTAAACTGCCCTAAGTTATGTGAAATCGGATAACATAAGCTTCATTTCTTAAATATAATTATATTACCCTTACATTACCAGATGAGTGAGGAATTTTTAATAACTTTGTGAAAAGCCGACATGGCTGAAAGGGCTAACAGTAAAGATTTTATTTAATTTGGACTGCAGCATTCTGTTTTTATTAAAGTATAATTAGATATATATTTGTCTTCGTCCTCTTCGACCATAATCGTGCTACAGACCCTGTAATGCTTTAAATACATAAATTGCAGTTTACAACACAAGAAAATGCACACCATTGGGGAGAATTTTGTAAAATTAATACCTAGATTTTTTATTGACAGAGTTTTATTAGTTTTATTCTACAGCATGCTCACAATAGACTTTAATTGTCTGCAAACTTTTGGTTTTATGTTAATAAGCTGAAGGTTTTGCCACGTACATAGTGACATCAAATTAGACTTGTGAATGTTGTTCATAAAAAAGAGGCAAGCGCTCAGAAAAATATTAATAAGTAAAACAAGACATTGTTTACTATTATAAAAGTTATATATACAGATTTTTAGTGTTTTATGCAGTACATTATTTTTTAGCTCAAGAAAACTGTACCAAAAAATCTTAAGTTATTTACTAGCATGTTTAGAGTACCGGTATTTGAAACTTCTATGAAAAAGTCACAGTGCACACATGGGGAACTTACTCTAAATTATTGCAATAAAACATATTCATGACACAATTGCTTTACGTCTTAGATATACCTCAAACTGTGGAATATCACCAGTTATAGTTGGTACTCAGCTGAATTTCCTTGTCAGAGATAGAATATGGGGATATATATATAGTGTCTTTGTGATAAATGAAACATTTTCCATTACATTTCAAGTGTTACTTGAAAGTCAGCTGTATATGACAGAATTATTTTAATACTGAATATGATATTATAAAAAAGATAACTTTGATCTTCAGTTCAACTTGGTAGGTGAGGATATTTTCCAAACATAATATATATTTGAACATGTTCATGATTTGAAATTGTTGAAGAGTATGACAGGGGAATTTTTTTTACATGTACCAAGAAAACCAAATCAAACATTTCCCTTTACCACTAGCTAAGTAATATTCTATATTATATGTTTATAGTTATTCATTACAAGTGTTCTTAAATAGAAATCATGTGATTTGTCAAGCAGGAAAGATACATCATACAACATTTAGATTTCATTTATATGCATGTAAAATAAGAGGCATTTGGCAGGAAGGAATTAACACTGAATTTTAAAGATGGCATTTTCAACAGGTACTTTTTAATTTTTTCTCCCCAAAGTCTGGATTTTAGGTGGTCAGAGAGATTTAGGATAAACTGCATGTCATTTAATGAAGAAAAACCACAAATGCAGAATGACAATATTCAATGTATATGTATCTTGCATACTTTTATTGCTTGATACTTAAAAGTGGGGTTTGAAGGCAATTCATGTGTTTGTAAACATATAAAATCAATTCTTTTTTTTTCTTCAGCAGTTTTACAATGAAAGTGCATGTTATTCTTAAAGTCTTTAATACCCAGATTTCAGTGTATTAATCTAATAATGTCCAATCATTAAATTTTCTTATGCTTTAAATGTGAAATTTTGACATCTCATTTCAGTGTAGGGTCCAAAGGACTTCTGATGATTAATTTTGTTATGATCATCATGACTCTGTATCCCCTTGAATTGATTAGGTTGATGTTCAAGGGAAAATTAAAAAAAAAAGAACATTTATATCTTAATTTTATTTCACAATAAATCTGCTTGGTTTCATGTTTTACATTTATGACTTTTAAAATTTCTTGAGAATATATAAAACTCAAATGATCATATTGAATGCAGTTGAAATATATACACATGTATAATTATAAAAAAGTCTGCTACATGTAACAAAAGAAAAATCAAAATAATAAAAATACTTTAAATAAATAAATATTTTGTGAAACCTGTAAATAATTAAATGACGAAAATATTGGTTCATTAAATTGCTACTTGTTGCTAGACTGATCTTTTATGTTAATTTCCCCATTGGCATCAAATTATTGATTTGTTAGCATGATCAACAATTCAAGATGGCAGAGGAAACTATTTATCTGTGTAACTTTCGAGTTTCTGTTGATGGGGACTGGTTATGTTTGAAAGAACTCAGTGATGTGCAGTTGGAGGTAGATGAATTAGATCTACCCACCCCTGAGGATGGTAAGGGGGTGCTTGAGTGGGGGAGGGGGGAGGCTTAATCTGTGCAGTGGAGGGTCTCAATATGCAATCATTCTTGCATACTTTGTCTTGGATAGATGGACAGACATGCATGATTCTAGGGTTTCTATAGGGTGGTTTTTTTGCATATTAGGGGAAAATATGTGCTAGGAATGTGATGTATCTAATTACAAGTCAATTAGTAAATTCTGCAGAGTAACTAAGAGTGTGTGTTTAGATTGCATTGATTTTTTTCTCTTGCTATACTTCACTGAACCTTGCATGTTTTCATTGCTGACATTCCGTCAGACTCTGGTGTTCAGTATTCTTTTGGGTGAGTCATTCCATAATAAGCAGTTGTTATTAAGCTCTAATTTAGTACAAATCTAATATGTCAAATCCTAAGAAAGCAAGTCGAACTTTTGCAGATTGAACTTTCTTGTTAGTTTTCATTAACCTACTCTTTGTACCAGTGAAAGAATGCCAGACATTTATGTTATGTGCATTCCTGCAATTGAAACATGTACATCTAAGAAAAATAATAATGTTCA